GCCCCCCCCCCCCCCCCCCCCCCCCCCACTAACCCTGAGCCCGGCTCCTCTAGATTTTCCTGAAAAAGGCCGACTAAGCCCAGGGCTCCTGAGGGTCCACTTCGGCTGGCCATGAAGCCCGAGACATGGGAGGTCGTAGCTGCTGCCCCCTGGAGTGCCAGGCCACGCACCGCCACCCCAGCCCGGGAGGTCCCGTCTGGCGCCCGCTGGCGACCTGGGCTTGCCGCTGGCCCGGAGGCCCCAGGAGCTGGTGCTGCCCCGCGCCGGGCCGCGGCAGAAGTCGGCGGCCCCCACACTGTGCCTGAGGCCGGCCCTGGAGCCAGGCCGGTGGAGAAGAGCTTTTCCCTGGGCGCCTGCTGTCTCCGGCGCGAACACTGGAATGCGTATACTACTTTCTGTGCTGTGTTTTTTATTCTTGGATACATTTGATTTTTTCACGTAAGTCCACATATACTTCTATGAGAGCGTGACTTGTAATAAAGGGTTCATGAAGTACGTGCCTCACATGGGAGCGCTCCACGGCCCCCGCCCGCGGCCATCTCGGCGGCCATGCCACCGAGGGGGACTCGCCCTCTGCGCGGTTTCGCACGTCACCATCTCCCGGGAGTGTCCGGGCCGCCCGGCTGGTCGGTAAGTGGCGGTGGAGCTGCTGCGGAACGAAGTCCGGGCGCCCAAAGCCGCCCTCTCTCCATGAGGACCCCCACCCCCGTGCGTCCCTTAGCTCCCATCATCCCGCCCCAACCTGCGGCGGCCTCTCAAACCAAAGGCGTCTCCCCGCCGCCTCGTCCCCCCTTCTTCCTGGGTCTCAGCCCTGTCCTCGTCCACAGCCCCCAAGCCTCGCTCATCTCTCCGCCCCGGGTCTCTGACATATTTTAGGGTCTCCGGCCCATCTGGAGGCCTTTGCACACGCTGTTACCCTGCTTGGAAAGCTCTCCTCTGCCGGCTCGGCTACAAGTCGCCTCTTTAGGGGCACTCTGTCGACCACCTTCCCAGGGTCCGGTCCCCCGAGGCACCCGGACGTTTCTTTCAGAGCGCCTATCACGACTACACCGACCACCTTCGACGTCCCCATGGCTTCACGGGCAGGGTGCCCCGACACCTATTCTGTTCTAGACGCCCGGGACCGAGGGGTGACAAAATAAAAAGGTCCGTAGTGTTGTGAAGGCCAGGAGACAAGGAATAGGGCGGCTGAGGGTCAGTGGAGGGCAGGCCTCCGAGGAGGGCCACAGGAGATCAGAGCGCTGACCTCGGCGGGAAAGGGTGCCCGCTGGTCGGTCGTGAGCGGGGCGGTAGAGAAGCGGCTCGAGCTCAGGTCCCAGGGAAAGGCCCCTCTCCTTCCGCGCCCGCGCCCCTGCCGCCCCCGGGAAACCCGCCTGGCTGCTGCGACCCCTCCAGGCTCCACAGCCTGCAGGGCGCGAGCCCCTCCAACCCAGAGAGCGCATCCAGGGTCCGGTCACAGGCACTTTAATTCGAGGCTGGAAGGCGGGGGCGAGCACCCCTCCCCCGCCGTCCAGGAGGCCCGGGCTCCCCAGTTCCGCCGACCCGGCGTCCTCCATCTCAGGCCCTGGGCAGCACGGTGCGGAGCCGTCCGAGGAGCGCGGCGCGCAGCGCGGCCGGGACGAAGTGGGCGAGCAGGCCGAGCGCCGCCAGCGCCAGCAGCAGCCAGAGCGCGCGCGCGCTCGCGTACAGCGGGGCCAGCCTGCGGGCGGTGCTCAGCGGGGGCGGGGCTCGGCGGGGCGGGGCTCCGCCGGCCGCTCCCCGAGGGGCCCGCCTCCCGCCGGCCTCCCCGGCCCGCCGTCAAGTCCCGGTCCACGAGCAGCCTGCCCCCGCCCCGCGCTCCCTCCCGGAGCCCCGCCCGGGCCCTCACCTTTGCTGCGGCGAGCGCGCGTAGCCCTGAAAGTAGCGGAGGCGTGCCAACAGGTAGACCAGGCCGCACAGGGCCGCCGCACCTGGGAGCGGGGCGGGCGGGGCGCCGTGAGCACGCTGGCGGGCCCCTGGGGCTCCGGTGCGTGCCCCTGCCCCGTGCCCAGACCTTCGTGAAAGAAGATGCCGGCGACCCAGAGCGTGGCGACGAACAGCGGGAAGTACTCGCTGCAGTTCACTCTGCGGGGCGGGGCGGTGTGAGGGCGCGGCCGGGGGGCCTCGGACCCTGCCCCGCCCGGGACACGCACCTTCCCGCCCCGCGCCCTCTCGCCGCGCCTCACTGGGCTCGGTAGACGCGCTCGAACTCGGGCGGGCCGGTGGTGAGCGGCGGCGACACGCGGAAGAGCCTCCGCGCCGAGATCACCTGCAGGGAGAAGTAGGCTGGGGGCGAAGCGGGGCGGGAGTCAGGTCTGGCCGCCCAGACGCCTGCAGCCTCCCCCAGGCCCTGCCTCCAGCCCGGCCCTGCACCTTCTCTTCTCCTCCCTTCTGCAGCTGACCTCGTCACGACTCCCCTTTAAAGCTCTCCCAAGGAAACTTCCCGCCCCTGCTCGTCTCCGGCCTTGCCCAGTGTCCACGACGCTCAATGGGGAGGGCAGGGTGCGGGCCTTGGGTGCATTGTCAGTGTAGGAGGAAAATGATAGTCACAGGCACACCTGCCCAGGGGCGGGGCTGCCCGGGACTTTGCTCCTGCAAATCATTTGACTAGCAAAACAGAGGCAAATACCCAGTTCCCACTCTCTAGGCAAGGACCTTCTCTTTGGGGCCCCCCAGGCAGGGAGTGCCACCAGGGCCTGAGGCAGAACTGGCTGCTTCCTTCCAGGTGTTGGGGAGCACACACCCTGTGGCTGACAGTCCCTGGTCTGCCACCTACAGAGCCCACCAGGAAGGACCTCCTGACCCTGGTTCAGGCCAGGGTCTCTCAAGCCTGGATCCCTGTGCCTCCAGACTGTCGCATGGGCTCCTGCCTCAATTTCTCTGTTCAGGCGCTCTGGACCCTTGCCTAAATCTGACAGGCTTCCTCTCTTCTGCCCCCAGGTGGTTGCAGCTGGAAGTTTTCCAGTCCAGCCCCAAGCCCCTAGGGTTCTGCCGCCCTCCATTACAGCTTTTCTTTTTTCACTTTTAGATTTTTTATTTTTTTTCCTTTTTCTCCCCAAAGCCCCCCGGTACATAGTTGTATATTCTTCGTTGTGGGTCCTTCTAGTTGTGGCATGTGGGACGCCGCCTCAGCATGGTTTGATGAGCAGTGCCATGTCTGCGCCCAGGATTCAAACTGACAAAACCCTGGGCCGCCTGCAGAGGAGCGGCCGAAATTAACCACTGGGCCACGGGACCAGCCCCTCCATTACAGCTTGAGTGGGTGCTGAGGGTGGGCTGGCCCCACGGGAACTCTGTAGGCAAGGACCCTTGACCCCAGGGCAGGCCCCCACCACACACAGCCCTAATGCTAAGTGTCCCCCACTGTCTTGTACGTGCTGTGCTCTGGAGCCCTCGGTGCCAGGCCCTCTGCAGACATGTCTCATCCAAGTGCACTGAGGGCGCCAAGGGCAGCCATGCCAGCACAGTGTAGGGTCTGGAGGGGGCCCTGTGGCAAATGAGGAGGGGCTGAGGGCCAAGCTTGTTGGCGTGGCTGGCGGTGAAGTCAGCCTGTCTGCTTGGCCCCTGCAGGGCCCCGGTCCCGGGCTGTGCCTTGTCCTAGCCCATAGACTGTGCAGCAATGGTATCCCAAATAGCAGAGCTGTCTGGCTGACGAATGAGTTCTCTAGGGCCAAGCTGAGATGGGCATCAAGCAGGCAACTTTGGGGGGCCTGGGGAGCAAGTTCCAACCCTGTCCATCTCCACGTGGTCCCAGCATGAAGAGGGTGCCTTTGAAGGCAGGGCTGGGGAACGGGCCTTCTTGCTGGGACACCCAGAGAGCGGGCAGCTGGTGGGGGCAGGGACTGGCCGGAGCAGGGCTACTCCAGGCCCATGGCTGTCCCACTTCTGTACCCAGCACCACACCACCTGTTCATCCAGGCACACCTCCCAGGGCCTACAGCCCAACACAGCTGGGTGCCCCACCTGCTCTCTGAAAGCCCCCTATCCTCCTCCGGGGTTCTTTATGCTGGTCTAGGGGCCACCACCCCACCCCCAAGCCAGGCATCTGGCATGCCTACCTCAATCGTCCCTAGGGGCATTTTTCCATCACTCCCCCTTTCAGCCTGGTCCCTGCCCAGGGTTTCGAAGTTCATCCTGCAGACGGCTCTCCAGGGCTTCCCCCCTCCCCTAGGAAAGTGCAAGCCCTCAGCCCTGGTGCATCCCAGCCTCCGGTGGTGGGGTCAGAAGAGCTTGGGCGCCAGGAGTCTGGTCTGGGGGCCCTGCCTCTACCCTCATCTGGGCCTGTGCCCTCCAGCACCTCCCCAGGGTCTGGAAGGCAGAAGGCAGGCTGCAGGCGTGTAAGGCCCACCCACCTTGCTGCAGGACTCCCAGGAGGGTGACAGCAGCCAGAAGAGCCACCTCGTCTTTCATGGTGCCCGCAGCTCTGTGGGCCCAGCTGGCGTGTGAGAGGGCTGGCTACTGAGCTCCTTTCAGCCCCCGTGTGCTGCTCAGAGTGGAGGCTGGCCCAGGAGAGGAAGAGTGGCTCGTTCTCCTCGCCTCTTCTCGGGAGAGGGGGAGGTAGGGGAGTGGGGGAGGGGCATGACGGTGACCAAAGAGCCAGGGAGCCCAGGCAGGCTGGGCGGGCGGAAACAGGGTCAGACAGCCTGGGCAGGAGATAGCAACCAGCTGGGGACAGCCCGGCCACTTCCTCCCAGTCCTTGTCCCTTTTGAGCCTAGCCCTTTGCTGGCAGAACCCAGCCTGTGCACCCAGGCACGCTCCAGCCGAGTATGTCCAGCTGCCACGCCGTCCCAATGTCCCTCAGGCCCTGCACCTTCAGCAGGTCCCAGTTGGCCCTCCATTCCTCCCTTTCTCCTGGGTCTGGTCCCAGGAAACTAGGGGCTGCTGCCTGAAGCCCCCACTGCCAACACTTCCCATCTATCACCAGGTCCCACACATTCTCAAATCCACCCCCATTGCCACCTTCCAAGCCCCACCCTGCCCCAGTCATCTCTCACCTGGGCACAGGTCGCAGGCTCCTCAGGAGCTCCCAGCCTTGACCCCCCCCAACGGCCCCCGCAACTGATACACACGCACTTCTCTGTTTCCCCTCCCCCAGCCAGGGCTGTTTTGTAACATGCAACTCTGACTGAGGGCATCCGGGCACCAAGACCACACTGGGCACAGCCATGTCCTTACTCCTCACCAGGAAACCTGGTGTCCACCAGCCTCACAGCTACCTGTGCTCCATGCACAAGGGCCATCCTGAAGGCTGCCCGGCTGGCCTGACAGGGTGAGTCACCCCCTTCAGGATGGCTGAACCCATCCTCTTCCAGGCCTCTGATGCCAGAACAGTCACCTGCTGTTTCTGCCTGCCCAGCATCCCTGCTTCCTGAGGCCCTGACCCTCCCCACATTCAGGTCCTGTGGCCTGGACTAAGCTGCCTCCCGCCCCTCCCAGGCCTGTGGGATGGACATGTGAACCAAAAATGACTGTGTGAAACAAGGCTGACTCAAGATGGTGAGATGCAGTTCTGGAAACTTCCTTAGAACTCTGGGAAAGGGAGCTAGGAGTGGAGAGGGAGATAACCGAGGGTCCACTGGTATGCCCTCGCCACCTTGAGTAGGATGGAGCCAACATGGGGCCATGCTGCAAGGAGAGAAGTGGCTCATGTCCTAGAGCCCTGGGGCCACCACGCCTGGAACCCCCCCTGGCTGTTTAGCCGTTCCGTTTTATAAGATGACCACTTCTCCTTTTGGCGCAAGCTGGCTTGAGACCAGTTTTGGTCAGTGGTGGCAGAGTCCAGACTGATACACAAGCACAGGCAGAAGGCGGCGAGGCCCCAAGAAAGCACAGGCCATGCTGTGGGAGGGATGGGTCCTCGGGGCTACTGCTACAGCACCTGGTCCTGGGCCACTGAGGTGCCCTGGTGCCCCCTGGCTGGTCACTCTGGGAGTTCGCCATACATCAGGGTCGTGTGACCTCTGGAACTCCGCCCTAGCCTCCCACTTGGCCTCCTTCCTTGCTGTGTCCAAACCGAGGTTCCAGCCTGAGGGCTTTGCTGCCTGCTGGGTTCCCCGAGAACCCCTTTTCCCCTCTCATCACCTGGTGGATGCCCAGCGAATGCCCTTTGGCCATCACCACCCCAGGGACCCAGCTACTCCCCAGCTGGGGGCTCTGCGGGTTCCTCTGGGGTAGGGCCGGGTCTCCATGTCTGTGCTCTGCTTTAGACGAGGCCTGACAGTGGTGGAAGTAGCTGCTCAGTGATGGAGAAATGACTCGGAAACAGGAGTGCCTGAGAGCAGATGACAGACGCGTCCTCAAGACCCTGCTCTGTCCACTCAGCCCCCTTCCTCCCTGAAAACTGTCCTGACTACAGCCCCCTACTCTGGTCTCCCCTCCAGCCCCAGCCAGGCCGTCCTGAAGGGTGGGACATATGCCAATGGGTGGGCTGTGTGCCAGCATGATTGCGTGAACCATGCGTGTCCACATGCCCTGATGCCCGTCAGTCAACACAGCGTGCGCCCCGGTGTCTCAGGGCCCCTAGTTTGCAAGTGTCTCGGAGCTCGTCCATGGGCTCCGAGTGTGTTCAGGCCCTCCTCTCTGCCAGGTTCTCATTTCCTCCAAGGCCTAGACACCCTCCCTTCTGAGCTTATCCCCTTCTGCCCTGGCGACAGGAAGCTGGAGCCTAACATCAGCAGCTTCTGAGGAAATCCCTGGGCAGATGTCCCGGAGAGGACTGGGGTCTCAGCCCCCGGAGCCTCCCAGGCCCCTTGGTCTGCACCTGCCTCCCTCTGAGCTTGCCTGGCCTCTCAGGTCCTTGCCGGGGCTGGGCCTGCTGAGGCTGACAGAGGGCCAGCCTGCAGTCCTCCAGGCACAGGCCACCCACCTGTCCTCCTGTGCAGCCCTGAGGTGCCAACATCACAAGGGCAGTGAGAAAGCCCCTCCCTGAGCCCCTACAGGATGTGCCTCTGTGACGTGGGACCCACACCCTCTGTGCTACAGCTCCTACATGGCCCTGAGGAGCCTTCTGGAAGCTGAGCTCGCCAAGGAGCTCTGGGGAGTGGAAAGGCCAGCAGAACTGTTATGTTGAAGAGACACCACAACTTTAGTGCAATAGAACATCATAAGCAGCACAACCCAGAGCCTAAGCTTGAATTTAAAATATATATATATTTTGAAATTATTTTACTTCCAAAACAAGTTGCAAAAATAGTACACAGTTCCAATATACTCTTCACGCAGCTGCCTCTAATGTTAAAATCTTGTATAACCATAATCCGATTATGTAAATTAAGAAATTAACATTGGATACAATTCTGTCAGCTGCACTACAGATCTTATTCAAATTTCACCAGTTGTCCTACTAAAATAGTACAAAGACCTCGAAAACATTATGCTAAGTTGTGCCAGACACAAAAGACCACATATATGATTCCCTTTGTATGAAATGTCCAGAGAAGGCAAATCGATAGAGACAGAAAACAGATCAGTGGTGCCTGGGGCTGGGAGGGTGAAGGATCTTATCTGGGTGATGAAAATGTTCTAAAACCAGGTTATGGCGATATTTGCACAACTTCGTAAATTTACTAAAACTTATTGAATTGTACACTTAAAATGGGCAAATTTTATGATATATGAATTATATGCCTCAATAACCTTCTTTTTTTTTATTTTAAAGGTTTCATTTTTTTCCTTTTTCTCCCCAAAGACCCCTGGTACATAGTTGTGTATTTTTAGGTGTGGGTCCCTCTAGTTGTGGCATGTGGGATGCCGCCTCAGCACGGCTTGATGAGCGGTGCCGTGTCCGCGCTCAGGATTTGAACCGGCAAAACCCTGGGCGGCCGAAGCAGAGCATGCGAACTTAACCACCCGGCCACAGCAAAGTTGTTCTTAAACATTGTGCAAAGAATGCTTGTGTACCCTTCACCCATCTTCCGCAAATGTTAGTATGTTATACAATCACGCATAATGATTAAAATCAGGAGAGTAACATTGATCCAAGACTATTAACTAATCTACAGACCTTATCCAAATTTCTACAGTTGTCCCATAATGTCCTTTTTCTGGTCCAGGATCATGTATCCTTAGTCTCCTTCATTCGGGACCATTGGATGTTTGCTCAGTCTGTCTTCGCCTTTCATGATCTCGTCACTGTTGAGGAACACCAGTAGTTCTTTTGTAGAATGGCTCTCAATTTTGTTTGTCTGATGTTTTACGTGATTAGACCGAGGTTCTTCATTTTTGGCAAAAATGCCCTAGAAGTCATGTGCCCTTCTCAGTGCGTCACATCAGAAGGAACATGGCATCCACACGTCCAATCACAACCCTAACTTTCTACACAAGGAAACAACACCTCTGATGATGGCAGGTCTTGCTCCTGACTGAACACACCCTGTCCCCAGCCCATGCTCCACCTTGTGGAGTCACCTTGAAGATTGCTGGCTCTGACCTCAGCCCTCTTCAGCCTGATGGCATTCAGGTGCCTAGAGTCCACCATGTACCCCCAGGACCCTTGAGCACGCTTCCCTGGCAGCTGTTGTCCCTCTCTGTTTTCCATGTTAGGTTTCTATCTCCCCACCCTTACAGAAGGGTCTGGGAGGAGATGGCTGTCCTCTGCCTGGTCCCCTGGCCCCATAAGTAGTAGATGCTTAAAGAAACACACCTATGAATGAGCGACTGAACGATGGCCCGGCTGGCCTGGTTCCCCTCCCTCCACCCTTCCCCTGGAAACCACTGAACGTTTTACTGTCTCAGAATGGCATATGGTTGGAATCATACAAAATGCAGCCTTTTCAGACTGGCTTCTTTCACTTAGTGATACGCATTTAAGTTTCCTCCGCATCCTTTCATGGCTTGATAGCTCATTTCTTTACAGCATTGAATAACATGCCATTGTCCGGAGGTACCACAGTTTATTGATCCATTCATCTACTGAAGGACATCTTGGTTGCTCCCAAATTTTTGCAATAATGAACAAAGCTACTACAAACATTGTGTGCAGGTTTTTGTGTGGACATAAGTTTTCAACTCATTTGGGTAAATAGCAAGGAGCGTGATTGCTGGATTGTATGGTAAGCTTTGTAAGTTATGTATGTAAGTTTTGTAAGAGACTACCAACTTCTTTTCCAAAGTGCCTATACCATTTTGCATTCCCACCAGCAATGAATGAGAGTTCCTGTCACTCCACATCTTCACCAGCATTTGGTGTTGTCAGTGTTCTGGAATTCGGCCATTCCAGTAGATATATAGTGGCATTTTTTTTTTCCTGAGGAAGATTTGACCTGAGTTAACATCTGTGCCAGTCTTCCTCTATTTCGTGTGTGGGTCACTGCCACAACATGGCTGCTGACAAGTGGTGTAGGTCCACGCCCAGGAACCAAACCTGGGTGGCCGCCAAAGCCGAGTGTGCCGAACTTAACCAGTAGGCCAGGGGGCTGGCCCCTCATTATTGTTTTAATTTGCTTTTCTCTAATGACATATCATACAGAGCATCTTTTCATGTGCTTATTTTCCATCCACATATCTTCTTTGGTGAGGTGTCTGTTCAGGTTTATTGTCTATTTTTAAATTGTTTTTTTT